GGGAGCGGCCCCGGCGGCGGGAGGCAGAGCGGGCCCCCGGGGATGCGCTCGGTGTCCCGGCTTCACGGTGAAGAGGGGCGCCGGCAGCCGGGTCCATCCTCTCTGGAAGGCGCAATTTTGTGTTTGAAGTTTGCATCGGCAAACTTCACTGCGGCTGTTTAACTAACTTGGTTTTCGCCGGAGGTGAGAGTGGGCTCCGGTGCTCTGCAGACGCGACCCCACCGTGCGAGGGGCCGTCGGGTTTTCAAACAAAAGAAATCCGGCAGCGCACACGGAGACGAGTTTCCCCGGTCACACATTCTGCGCTTATTTTCCACCTTAGGAGTGGAAGCGACTTAACAGCATCTGCAGCGTTTGAGCTTCGCCTGCAGATTCAAGCTGTTCCGTTGGACAGCCCCGCCAGTTTTGGGGGATGAGGGAGTGCGATGCTTGGGCAAAACCTAACTAGAACCAGCAAACGGGACACGGTGCAGACAGCTTTTACTGTTGGTAACTATTAAAACTGTCAACAGGAAGAAATTTTGGCCGGTACATGCAGGGTTTAACTTTAATCTTGCTCTAATGGGAATAGTCGGAAGCTCTGTCTTCTGCACAGCTCGAGATGTTAGTGGGACTGAAACGATGTGGGGCCTCGTAAACTCTGCCGAGTTTATTTCTACGCAGCAGACCTGTTACTTCAGTAGGCTAATGTGCGTGGCTTTTCTTATTCTTTCTTCTCCCAGAACCCATCTACGTTCCGTTCCTCATTGTTGGATCAATATTTATTGCCTTCATTATCGTGGGCTCTCTGGTAGCGGTTTACTGTTGCACATGTTTAAGACCTAAACAACCGTCGCAGCCGATACGATTTTCTCTGCGGAGCTGTCAGACCGAGACTCTTCCCATGATCCTGGCCTCGGCAAGCTTCAGGACGCCGTCGAGGCAGTCCAGCACCGCCACAAGTTCCAGTTCGACCAGCGGCTCCGTGCGCAGGTTTTCCTTTCCCCGGGCGGAGCCTGGGTGCCTTGCGGCATCGCCGCCTCCACCGTACACATCTGGCTGCTTCCAGGCAGCCCACGCGGTCCACCTGACCCAGCCATCGGGATTTCTGGTGTCGCCGCCGTACTTTGGGTATCCTCTCCAGCCAGAGCCTGCCCTAGCTGGGAAGAGCTGCTCCGATTTTAGTCAGAGCTGAAAGGAGTTGTCACGAAGTCACACAGCCTTTGGAAGCGCGGGGACTGCTGCTGCGGGGTGTCACGCTGACGTGCTCTGGGGTGGCAGGAGGCAGAACCCTTCTCGTGGGTGAGTTGCCCTTGAAAAGTGCAAGGTCTCATTCGGGATCCCATTTCCCAAACTTGGATGACACTTACAAATGAGTTGTAAAACATTCCAAACTTAGTTGCTCTAACAACTGACGGCTCTCATTGTTCATTCTAATTTGTGCAGAGACAGGTAGAAAAACCATTTTGGGATAAAGGTACTCATTTCACAGCGTTATGAATGATGTTTTAACCCTAAATGCTATTAACTTGGTTAACAAACGGTGGCTGCGTTCCACTGGTAATAATCGGACTAGTTCTATAAAGCAGCGATAAGCCTGAGAAGTAAGAGAGGAGTAATATTTACTAAAGAGGATCCTGAAAACAGCTGACTGCTGCCCACCTCCATGAATAATGAGAGTTAAGAGGACGAATTTTACTACAGCTATCCACATGGATAGGGTTTTTAAAATACACATAATATACCTGAACTTACACTGCATATTTGTATTAGTAAACTTTAACTACGATAGCTAAAACTAGTACTAATTAGGCTAGTTGAAAACGAGCCAGTCCCAAGTAATTAGCTCTGAGAAAAGCAGAGCGTATGCAGCAACACCACTGATAACTTCTCCGCATAGAATTCTAAACACGGTGTTATACTGAAGCGTTTTTCAGAAGGAAGTATTTATTGTTGGCTTTTTGCTCAGCAAGATGTGTAAGGTGGACAAGCTGATGGCAAAGTTCTATTTTGTAAAATTAGCCATGTATAAAATGTAAAGACAAGCTTGTAATTTAAAATGTATTTACAGCATTGACAACACTAATTATTTAGTAGTCACCCCACCCCCCCCAAAAAACATTTACCAATAAACTGTGTGGTTGAAATGTTGTGTCATCCGTATGACTCTGTACAGATGGTGTTTGATGAGCAAGTTTTCATTCTGATGGTGTAACTATACTGTATTTTTTCCTGTTAAAAATAGTTAATTTTGCTTTTTTAAATGATTTACATCTTTAACTGCACCTGTTCTGCAGACTTAACAGAGTATGAAATTCTGGCCATATAGCAAACTAATAGATTAATTAGTGTCTTTTTATACGTAACCATGGTAAAAATGTGGTAAAACCTGCGCTGATTAGTTGGGTATTTTAATTTAAAACATCCTGCCCTAGGAATAAATTTTGTTTGCCCTTCTACATTCCTCCACCTAAGTAAACCAACAAACCAAATGGAAGAAGAAAAAAAAGCCGCATGTAAACCAAACCCATGCAGCAAGCGAATGGAAAATACACAGGAAAAAATGCAGCTGCTAAAGGGCTTCTCTGTATACTTAGTTTTGCGAACAAACAAAGTCATTCTGTGTGTCAGAATCTACGGCATCAGAGGCTGGACTGCCCTATTTTACCAGCCCTGAGCTCCCCGTCTGTGGGAGTTGCTGAAGTACGTTATAGCCGACCTGTTTCACAAGCACTGGCCTAACGGTGCAGATTAAAATTACAGCGCTTCCATGCCAAATTACAGGGTACTTCTCTGGAGTTTAGGGAAGCTTCATCGGTTCTTCCTCAAGAGTCAAATACCTTTTTTTTTCTTAGCAAATATCCAACAATCATCATCTCAGCATTTATAAAAAAATATTTTGAAATAACCTTTTCAGTATGTTTTTTATCACATTTTTATTAGTTAACATTACAACTCAACGGCTATTACTGCTGGAAATGCGGTTTCTAAGCAGAAAGACCATTTACATTGTATACAATGGTGTTTTAAGTAATAGGCTTTAGCTCGAGAGTTGTAATTGTTAATTACACACTGAAATAATGATACACAGTAGCGCGTGTTTTACAAAAAACTAAAAAGGAGATTTCAAGGACTTGGGGAAATTACTTGCAAGGTAAGTGGTTTGGCTTGCAGATTTTAAGAAACAGTCTCCAAGGAAGGGGGCGGCTAACTTTTTGCCCACCTTTGATGATGTTTCATAGGACTCTCTCCATTGCACGCTTTGAATGGATAAGAAATATGGGACTGTTCATCAAGTAACTTTTTGGAAAAGTTGTTTAATATCGCAACAGGTATCAGCCCTGTTGTTTGGAAGCATCTGGCGAGATCTGCTCATTGTTCCTGTATACAGCAGAAACACAGTAAAACAATTAAACTCTCTTTTTTTACAAATGTAAGCCTTTAATTAGTAGAAATCCTTTTTTATCTAGTAAACCGAGGCAACACAGATCCTCCTGGAAGCAGAAATTCGATCAGTTCTAGTTAAGAAGGTGCAATTCGATGTTCCTTTGAAGAGCGACTAGCCATCAGGGCCACTGACGCGTGTGGTGGGCAGCTGAAACGCGGTGTTTTTCTCAAAGCTGCAGGGCTGTACACCGAGAGGCCGTCAGTCGCACTCAGTTACCGCCCGTTAACATTTGGCGGCAGGCACCAGACAGGCCAGGCTGCTCCGCCGTGAACGGCCTCAGTAGGCTCTGCAGTCAGATTTACCAGTGTTTTAACACGGGGATGGGCTTGCGTGCAGGCTTACCGACTGGCAGTAACGGGTTTGACCTCATAAAACGCTTGACGAACTTGGCACACAGGAATAACTTCATTGAATCAGACTTAGGTAAGCCTGTGAGTTTATGGAGTGCAAACGCTTGATGGATTGGTGGCCGGAGTGCCGACAAATCCTGCAGACGGGGGGCTGAGGCTGGGAAAGATCAGGTGTGGTTAAAGTAGCTGCAGCGGCTTACCTGTAAAGCAGCGAGGTGGGGATTATGCATCATCTGTGAGGGGGTAGATGCAGAAAAATCTATAAATTAAGAAGAATCTATAAATTATCGTTCATGTAGCCACAGTGGCAGTGACCTACGCAGCTGAAGGGAGGTGGCCAGAATTGTACAAGCCCACGGACTGAAATGCCTGCCCGTGCCAGTGGTTTCCAACCCAGATGGATTCAGGGTGCGGGTGAGAATGCTGAACTTCCTTCCTAATGAAAAGGACCTACTGGCACTAGAAGCTCCTAGGATTTATAGGAAACAGTCATTTTGCTAAAACCTGCAGACAGGACACAAACGGCATTCCGAGACACGGCTCTAACGACCAACGAAACAGTTCGAAGGGCTGGCTGTAGGCTGGAACTAGAAGAAATTACTTGCTGGCAGAAGTTAAATTTACACAGTACTTGCATTACTGCCATCCTTATTTTTTAACACAGTAGGCTTAACTATTTCTTTTGTAATACTGGAGTTAGTTCATACTCCTTTTACTAGAGTGACACCAATCCAAAATAAATCAAAATGAAACAAAACCCACAGTAAATTGGTTGCTGTAATTCACACACGTGATGCACAAAATGCCTTGATTGCCATTTGGTGTGTCTGGAACCCCAGCCTTCCGCGGGCAAAGAATAACAGTGCCATGAATCAGATCAGCCATTTGTTTTGCGATCCTACACTTTGGGTTTCTTAAGCCTGTGTCTCTAAAACGCATCAAAACTCTTCAGCGCGAGGAAAAACATTACACGTACTTGCAAGAATGTCTGAAGGATTTTATTTGAAACTAGGTAAGCGGTACGGTATACGGCTATGTGAGCTCACGGGTTATTTGTAGTGCTAATCCCACTGGGATTTAAAAAAAACAAACAAGTGACAATTTCAAAATGACTTTGTCGCTACTGTTCAGTTAAAGCTTGACAGTAACATTAAGGATATGGAGTCAATTTTTGGCGCTGTTTTTCTGCATATTGCAATCTGCTGCGTGGAGTTGAAGTCCTCTGAACAGAGCTTCTGCTTTTGGGGGGGCTGCTGCTGCATGGTACTCACGTAAAATTGATTTGCAATCACACCGAGGCTGTAATTCCACGCTACGCTGTCTTCGTTAGCAAAGGCAGAATAAGAAATGCCGCTCAGTTCTTTTTATTCTCTCCATCTATGACTCGTGCACATTCAGGGGGTTGTGGTGTAAATCAGGTTAGCGAAATGATTTAGCTTAAAAATAACATTTGCAGTAAGAAAGGAGGGAAAGGGTTTGAAAGGGAGCCTGGATCGTTATCAACTGGATTACAACCTGAAGAAATTCAATGGCCTCACGACTGCCAGCGTCACAGAGGTGGTGACATACCAGGAGGTGGCATCGCCTTAAACCAGCTCTGCCATTAAAGCCTGGCTGTCACGAAACTAACAGCGTGAAAGGTGCATCTGTTGTCGAACCTGCCTTGACAGAATACAAAATCTGCAAAATAAATTAGTTGTCTGGTGTGTATAAAGACTCAGCCACCTAACTACAACCAGAAGAGTTTAGGTTTGGGTATACTGATTTTTATTCCGTGGGTGGGCGCTGTTAGGGGAAAGGAGGAGCTGCCACTGTGCAGTGTTTATCACTGTCCTCTGAAAAACTAGACGTTTCCTTATTCCCGCTCTACCACTCTTGCACTGTATACTTCCCTTTCAAAATACGGTATCGCCACCAGAAGTGTGTTAGGGCTCTGCTGCAAATCACTAAATTCCAGACTCCCATACTAACTTTTTTGTTTGTTTTGGTGGTTTTAAATTTTTTTTTTTTTTTAACTCTTTCTGGACTTTGCATGAGAACTGTAGAAGACACCGCAAAACAGCTGTTTAAAAAAACCCTTGAAAAGATTTTCTACTTTTTCAGTTTACCTTAATAACATGAGAAATCTTTGGTATTTGTGAAATGCTATTTCTGATATGTCTAATTTTAAAGAATTCAAACCCAAGAGTGATGGGATATACGCTTTCCTTTGAAAGTAATCCCTAGCTTTCGCAACCAATCAATTCAACAAAGCTTCTTCATTTAATGGCAAAGTTTATTCATTTTTTAACAATTGAAAGACAAAACATTTAAAATTTGCAGTTCAAAACATGCACATTCACCAAATGCCAAATGACATGTAACACTGCATAGAACTGAATGTGTTACTAAAAGAGAACAACTATTTATAAAACACAGTGCATTTAACATCCAGTTAAAACTAAACCTGAGGAACTACCATGAACACCGAGTCAAAAAGTCTTCATTCATGCAGCTTCAGAATTTCCACAAGAGTTTCAGCAGTAA